TTTGAAATCTACTTTTCTTGGCCAAAGATCCTTAAAAACGCAGTATCCATCAAAACTCCGTGAATCTTTTTATAGGGTCCTTTAAGATTGTTTCTTGACTATAAGGAACTTTACCAAGTTCAAGTTGAATCAAATCAAGATTCAAAATAATTTCTGCAATGTTTTCATTTAAAAAAAGTTAATAGAAATCCAAAAATTGTATTATAGTTTGAAGTTTGGATCTACACGGATACACTCTTCGCTTCATATTGGATACAGGTTTTTTTTGCCATTTGTGAAAAAGGAATAAACCATTAAATCTCATGATCGTACTTAATCTAATGTCTAACGAAATATTAGGATTTGTGAAAATCGAGAAAAATCGGGGACTAAAGGTGACGGTACATAAGCCGCTTGGCATATTAATGTCAAATTGTGGGGGGAAAGACGGCAGGATTCGAGTGCGTCTCTGACATACCTTTATGATATGCCATAAAATATGTCATGCGAAGGCTTAATTTCCAATCTTACGACAATTATACTCTTTCAAAATTGTGTCCCTGTGTAAGTGAGGTACCAAAAGTATTGAATCGAAATTTTTTTATTTCGAACTGATTAAAATATTTCTAGGGACGAAGATTAGACTATATATATATATATATATATATATATATATATATATATATTGTTTCAAATCAATTAAATTAGATCGGATGCTCCCTTCGCGAACCCTTTTGACCCTCTTCAGCTCTAAGGAAGAAGTTTTTAAACATATAATTATGTTTTTCTTCAGCCACAATACAAAAAAAAAACTACTAGCAATATCATTTTGTCGCCAAATCAAATACAAAATATTTATTAATTCTCCTTTTTGTACCCTCAGCCATATGGCTACAGAGGGTATATATCATTTGATACGGCCAAAACGTGCCTAGTCGAAATAATGGTTTTAGACCCTAGGTCTCTTTGGACCAAATCCGTTTCAGAACATTTGAAGTCGATCTAGCGATGTCCGTCCGTCCGTCCGTCCGTCCGTCCGTCCGTCTGTCTGTCTGTCTGTCTGGCTGGTGCGCACGATAACTCTCGAAGGGAGTATCCGATTTGGTCCAAATTGGCTACAACGTAATATTTTTGTCAAACTTAGATCGAGTTCGAAGATGGGCAATATCGGTCCACTCCTTCTGGTACCTCCCCCACAAAAGGTCGAAATTTTCAAAAAATATATTTTTTGCACAGGAAGAGAAAGGATAATCCGAATTTGCTCCAACTTTGCAAATCCTAATATTTGCGTCAGTGCTAGGTCAGGTGTGAAAATGGGCAATATCGGTCCACTCCATCAAGTACCTCCACCACAAATGGTCAAAATTTTGAATAATTACAACTCTCATAAAATGTTATGTAAGAGTCCGATTGTCTTCAAATTTCACACATCCCAATATTTATATTAACCCAAGGTCTTGTGTTAAGATGAACAATATCGGCCCACTCCTTCTGGTACCTCCCCCACAAAAGGTCGAAATTTCCAAAAAAAAAAAAAAAATTTTTTGCACAGAAAGAGAAAGGCTAATCCGAATTTGCTCCGACTTTGCGAATCCTAATATTTGCGTCGGTGCTAGGACATGTGTGATAATGGACAATATCGGTCCACTCCATCAAGTACCTCCCCCACAAAATATTGAAATTTTGAGTACCCATGAAGCTCATAAATCGCCAAATTAACATCCGATTCCATTTAGACTTGGCACATCTGTCGAAATATTTATATCATATTTTGGGTCCGATAGGAAATGGGAAATATTGGCCCATTCCTTCGGGATCTGCTCCATAGAGGGTCAAACGTTTGAATAACCTTAACACTAGTCAAAATATATTTATATACTCGAACATAGGCTGAGGGTATATCTCTGGCGGCAATACCGACTGATACTTTTTAACTTGTTTGAATACAAACCAAAAAAAAAAAAAAAACAATCAAAATAAAATGTTAAAATACTCATAATGCAACTGCAATCTAACTTGCAAATGTAACACCCCACTCCAATCCTTTTATAAACCATATAAAATAGACCACAATAACGGACTCTCAAAACTCCGTTTCTATTACTGTAGGGTGAGCATTTGTTCAGAAAGAATTGTCCTCGAATAAATACGAGATGTTGTTGGTCAGAATAGCTCTATATTATTTTCTGACTTCAAACAACCACAGCACTCAAACTGGTCGTATTTTAGTTTAAAAAGCACAGTGTTACAAATTTGAAAAAGTGGTAAAATGTATTTCAAAATAATTTAAAATCTAAAAATTCAAAAAAAAAAATAACTTAAATTCGTTTTTGAGTGATAAAGTTTTGTTTCTTTTTAATTGCTTTTTATAATTTTTTTCTGTGGATCTGAATTGAATTTTCTCTATTTCGAAAAACTGTTCAAATTGACCACAATAAGTAATATAAATGCTGCTCTGCGCTGCTCTGTTCTGCTCTATTACAAATATATTAAAATTATATGATTTCATTTCCATGCTCAGACAGAGTTTTACATCAAAAGTGACACAAACCAAAGTAAATAGATGAAACCACACAAAAAGTACAATGATAGTTTAGTCTGAATAAATTGTTGCAATAAATGGCTATTATTGCAATAAAATCCAAATGGGCGGATGTGCAATTTTCACTTATCATCGATAAGAGAGAGACTAGAAATCACTTTTTTTTTGTAAAATTAATGCTTGGGTAAACAATTGTTTGGTAAAGAGAAGAAAATGTATAATTTTTGCTCTGTTCCAGAACCTGCAAGAATCTACTAGTTTTAAAATTTTTCTCGATATCATAAAGGGAAATTTCAGGTTTCAGGTTCTATCCATTCACTTCAACAGCAAATTTAGTAAAATTTAGTACTTTTCGAACAATCAAACTACCCATTCCCGAATACACCCCCTTCTCTCGAAACTATATACCAACAGTAGCTTCTATATCAAATTTCAGAATTCCATCTATATCCCAACGCCCAGCGGCACATTTTGCTCTTTTCGTATGTTCGTAGAACGAATTTCCAAAACCACCTCTTTCTCAACGACAGACACCAGCAGTGACATCCATCTCAAATTTCAGGATTTCAGTTCTGTACCTTTACCAAATACCATATTTAGTAGTAGCATTTAGTCTTTTTCGTACTGTGAAAGTATGCATTTTCAAAACAATATCTATACCCCCATCCAACAGTGACCTTAATATGAAATTTCAGCTCTGTAATTGCCCCTTTGAACTATTATGGTACTCATTTACAAAACCAGGTCCTTCTCTCAACCACAGGCACCAAAAGTTCATCCTTATCAATCTTTAGGATTTTACCTATATTCCGTCATCCAATACCAAATTAAGTACTTTTTGTACAATTATAGTACACATTTTCAAAACCCCCTACATACCTAAATCCCAGTTACCAACAGACACCTCAATATCAAATTTCGGGATCACAGCTCTATTCCCTCACCCAATACCAAATTTAGTACTATTTAGTACTTATCGTTCAATTATAGCTCACATTTCCAAAACCACCTCCATATATAAATTCCAGTTACCAACAGATGCCTCAATATCAAATTTCAGCATCCCAGCTCTATTCCTTCATCCAATACCAAATTCAGTACTATTTAGTACTTTTTGAATAATTATAGTACACACTTCCAAAAACCACCTCCATATCTCAATTCCAAATACCAACAAAGACCTCAATATCTAATTTGAGAATTCCAGCCATGCCCCTTCACCCAATGCCAAATATAGTATCATTTAGTACTCTTCGTACACTTGTAGTAGAAATTTCCAAACCAACGCCAAATCTCAACCCAGCTATCACATTAGTATTCTAAATATCATATCCCCACCCAAGACCAAATTTAGAAATATTTAGTATTTTTCGTACAATTATAGTACACATTTCCGAAACCACTTCCATATATCCAGGCAACACATGAACAGTGGCCCTAACACCAAATTTTAGATTTCAAAAACTTTCTGTTCACTCTATACCAAATTGTACCAAATATAGTACTACTTAGTACTCTTTTTACACATGTAGTACAAATTTCCCAAAACACCTCTTTATCACAAAGCAATCACCAACATGGCCCTAATATAAAATTTCTGAATTCCAGCTTCATCCGTTCACCCTAAACCATAGTAAAAAAATACAGGTAGATGCATCAACACTTGCAAACATTGATATATCAAACGTTTTGAAATGTTTTTCTTTTAATAAGTCGATTCTTACATGTTTTCTTATACAACGCCAATCGGAGATTGTTATGATATGCATTTTTCGACATTTTAACGAATTTCAATAACTTTTCATTCAAAATTTTCAATTTCAGAATTGTTTTGACAGTTAATTATCCCAGTAGCTGTATCGATGTGACTACCTGTATTCTACCCCCTTGCCCTAAACCAAAATGTTTCAAATTTAATACTGTTCCCACACTTAATACAGCCAAAGCACCTTTACATATCAATTTCACATTCCAATCTTGTTTCTCATAGTAAATTTCAAGATTTTAGCTTTATCCGTTCATTCCAAAAAACATTTAAAGTGCTCTATTAGAAAATATTAGCTCTGTTCCAGAACTGCAAGAATTTAAAACTTTTTATAACCATAACCGATTTTCTATTTATGATATCCAAAAACAATTGCAAAAACAGTAGATTCTTGCAGGTTCTGGAGCAGAGCAATTGTTTTCAGTGTTTTCTTTTTATGTACTACCTTGTAAATTATGTACCACGATTTGTAGAAAAAAACCTAAAGATTTTCTTCCCCATAAATATGACATTCAAACTGTTGTTCCAGCAGTTCGTGTCACATTCATCATAATTGCCGCATTTTTATATGTTTCACTGTCACTTCATGCGACAAACCTACCACAATACATCAGCTGTTACCAACGATAAGAACGCACAATGGTTATCGACAACAGACATCGACAATTCGATTATTTTTCTCTTTCGATAGTGTATTTCGGTTGTTTGCCGATTATACGCAAATTAAATTATAGATCCCTAGAAAAAAGTTAATTTTTTGCTTATATATTTTTATACAACAAACACCAAAAAAAGAAAAAATTAAACATCATTATTTTGCTAAGCAAAAGCATAGACGTTAAAACGATTTGTAAAACGGGAGCTATCAATAGGACGATAAAAATCCAATTAAAAGACTTGTACAAATTTTGTAATTACAATTCCTCCGAGTGAATCTCCCCCAAAAAAGCAGTGAATCAAATCGAAGAAGAAAAAACAGGCAAGGTCGTCAACGTCGTCGTCGTCGAAGTTGTCTTAGTACAAAGCCAATAGTCAACACAAGCAACATGGTGAGTGTTCAAGTCGAACGAAAGGAAGCTGATTCCTTTGTGTGTTTGACACACACAGAAGTGACATGTGGGTCATAAACCACGGCACAAGAATGTGTCGGAAGCAAATGAATAGTTCCTGTGCTCTCAAATATGAAATATATGCATGCCAATTGTGCGACAGCAGCTGCTTGCCGCTGCTGTTGTTGTTTTAACAGCGAGCGAGACCGGCAGTAATGATCATGCTTTATGAGAGCTGCTATTCTGACAGCAAATGGCAAAAATTGAACTTTGACCAAAAATTATAAAAAAGAAACAATTTCAACAATCAATTTATTTGTATTTTGTAACACTTATTAAAGCTCATTATTTTCGTTGTTGTTTGTTTTAGGATGTGTTCCTGATGATTAGAAAACACAAAACTACCATCTTTACGGATGCCAAAGAGAATACATCAGTGGGCGAGTTGAAGCGTATGCTGGAAGGTAAACATTGAAATGAAACAACAAAAATAGCTAGAGCAAATAATAGTTTAATGGCAAAAATAGCATTTATGTGGACACAAGAAATTGTTTGTGTTTTGAGGGGACCAAATGATATGACCTTTAAATATATTTTGAAAGATTCCTATAGGTAGGTACTTTTGTAGTTATAGGTTAATTTTTTTTTTTAAATTTGATGAGGGAATCGATCATAGTTTTTACCCTGAACACACATCAAAAGTATTTATGTCATGACTAAAATTGAATTATGCCAACATGATATAATTAGTTTTTGTCCAACAAATCAATTTGTTTTATGGAAATTTTTGGCAAGTGGACTTGAATCATATCGCTTGAGATAATAACAAGTTATTTTAACTATACAAATATATTAGCAAGTATTAAATAAAATTTTAGAAAGGTCTTATTTAACTAAAAGTAGGATATTGTTACAATATAGGATTTTACAGTTCAATGTACTCCATAGGTATATGTTGCTATTCGAGGAAATCATGATGTTGAGGTTAGGCCAGAAACATCTAAATAAAATGTTCCATTTACAAGTCATTTTTTAATCTATATTCTCCAATATAAGACGAATGTTAATTTTGTTAATTTAATGATATTTTATTATATTTGGAATAATCATATTTAAGTACATAAGTACGTAAAAATCTAAATCGATATACCAATGCTTGATTGTTTGTGTTCATCTCTCCAGCATCCAAAACAATTGACGCAAATGGCGCTAACATTTTTGCCTAGCCTAGTGTGTCTATAAAGTCAACGTCCTTTAAGTGCAATGAATGTGGATATACTCCGAATCCGCTAATCATACTGTACAGATTTGTTGCTTCTACTCATACCTGCTTGATAAATCATTTTTAAAAGGAGACGAAGATTCTTTCCATAAATATTATGAAATTCAATCTACCATATCGTGCTTTTTGCCATTCATGAGATTTTACAAAGGGAACATGCGATAATATTGACGTATGGAAAGAATCTGACGTAGATGGTGTCATCGTTAGGTTAGCGTTACTTTGCGTGGTTGCGTGGGAATCTGGAACAAGTCAGAAGTCTACCATTTTGAATGATAATAGGTTAAATGAAACTAAATAAAACGTTGTTTCGAATTCCCATAAGCACAACCGAGGACGTAAATATGAAGCAATTGCCTCTGAATTTGCCCCTTTTATGTGCCTCTGGTCATGTTTGAACGGACTGATGTAAAAAAATCACGAATAAACATAAAAACAAGAATATATTACTAATTTGTAACCCATTAAGAACCTGATATTTGGAGTGATATTTTAAATATTCCAGTCGAAAGGGTATCAGATTTAAATAAACTTGACCGTAAGTTGTATTAGGTTATTACATGGTCGGTCCCTCCGAACTGTAATCTTACAAATTACAAATTAAATATTTTGGTAACTTATTCCCATTAGACAAGGTACACCACATAAGGTTTCCTTGCTCCTTCGGAAACTATTACTTGATTGTCCAAGTCATAAGTATTTTAGCAATGTATACAGGGTGAAATAAAAAAACTGTAACATTTTTACATTTTTTAATTTTATTGAATGAAAGCAAAAAATGTCGGAAATAGCATCAAATTTTAGAATAAGTTTAGATTTGTTCGAATTGGTCACCTTTAGCACGAATTATGGCCTTCAAACGGCCAATGAAACCATTCCCGACGAAGCGCTTGCTTGAGGTGATCGACACTTTGGTATTTTTTAGTGCCAACCTTGCTTTCTAAAATCATTTTGTAACCGTTCTTGGGTGTCGCGTGCTGAGTGCGATGGTGCTGAGTCCTATTGGAATGTCCAAGGTCTGCGGCCAAAATGTTTGCGTGCTCAAGGCTTTAATACACCCTCCAGAATATTTTCGCGATAATATTCAGCATTTATTCTGATGCCACTGTCGATTAATACGAACGGAGAGCGACCATCAGCTGTTATGGCGGTCCACACCATCACTATTGTCGGTGCTTGAGTTCTGGTGGCCAACCGAAGGTGCACATTTTCAGCTGACCTCTTTGGCAAGTAAACACGATCATTTTGTTTGTTTACAAACTGCTGTACAACGAATGTTTTCTCATCAAACCAAATTCGACAGTTCACAACTTTCGGCCAAGCGAAGCAACTCTTTTGCTCTTTTGAGTCTATGCCTGTTGCGGTGTAAGTTCTTGCACTTTTTGGAGTTTTAATGGCTTTACCCCGAGCTCATTTTTCACTATTTTCCAAATGGAATATTGCGATGTGTTCAGCTCACGAGCCATTTTTCGGCCACTGCCACGCGGCTTTCGATCATATCTCTTCTTTACTTTTCGAACCATTTCTGCTGATGTTGCTGTTTTCTTCCGTCCACTTTCATGACGTCGGGTCGGAAATGACAGCAGTCTGAAGTCAGTTGCAGTTTTTTCTCTCACCCTTTTCTTTTTCAATTTAAATTTATCCCCCTCATAGTTGATATCGACGTTTAACACCATGCAGTTATCCGAATTTTTAGTGGAAACTCTAGCATATCCTTTATTTTTTCTGGAGATAAAATTGGCCCTAATAGTTCAGGATATTTTGCCTTAATTTAGAAACCACTTTCAAGTATAAACAAAACCCAGTAACATCTAAATTCAATTTTCTTTATATTATACATATATATCTCAAAAATATGCATTTATTCTTCTTTTTCAGGTATTTTAAAAGTTAAACCATCAGATCAACGTTTATTCAATCAAGACAATGATATTATGGAAGATGACAATACTTTGCAAGATTATGGCATCACAATGTCAACAGCTAAGGCGCAAGCACCAGCTCAATTAGGTTTGGCTTTAAGGTATGTTGTGTGTTATTGACTTATGACTACGTTATATAAATATAGCCAATCTGTCTAGACCAATATTCGAGTCCAATGGTAGAATTTATGTGAATTTTTTGTACTCATTTAATGAGTTCACACGACGACAACATTATACCATAGTAGCGCACGTTTGACAAGTTCCTCCTGCTTATTGATAATACATTTTTTACTCTTGAACATGTTTTAATTCAATTCATTTTTTTGTATGATTATTCGGACGACGATGATGTCTTATCTCAAAAAAATATTAATCACTGAGTACGACATTCAATATTGATATTGTTTAGAGCATTTATGTATGTGGGATATTTTTAATTCATTTTGCAATTTGTTGTTGTCAGGGTAATTTATTTCGTTCGTATATGTTTTTATTTTTGAGTACATGTGTGTTTGTTAAATACGGACATGTATCTTGAAATGTGATATTTTTGGATTCAACATAAGTGAACTTTGATTTGTTATGGGAGACGATTTTTTTTTTAAATTTTATTGAGTTCTAAAGTTTGAAGCATTACATAAAGGAGTATGAATGAATGCCCTGATTATAATGAGCGCTTTTACAAATTATTTTGACACCTAATGAAACTTACCAAACATAAACCCTATTTTATCGATTATAATTCCCATGCCATATTTAAGCTTCTTTTATATATAATTATTCTTCTCATTACAGAAAGGAAAATGGCGAATTTGAGACCCTTGATATTACACCCTATTCATCACCACCAGATTTACCAGAAGTAATGAAAAATCAAGAAGCAGCAAATGGCAAAGAACAGGTGGCATAGATATACATATTTAATGAGACAACAACATTAACAAAAGCAACGCAAAAAGATGCAGTAGCAATTTAGTGTAAAATTACAGCAACACTTTCAAAGAAGCCTACAACCTATTCTATTAACAAATTCTCTTATTTTTTTATTTAACACACAAGAAACAACAATTATTTAATATTTAAGTCGAATGAAGAAATAAACAAACAAAACACCAGGCCGTGGCGAAAAAGTAACACAATTGATGTAAAACCTAACACACCACTCAATTACACCCTGACGAGGCAGAATGAAAGTATATTACATATACTATATACATACACAAGATATATATTTACAATAATTGTCGCCATTGAAATCAGTGTTGTTTTTATGCTAAAATGAAAAAAACTGCAAACTCCTTGGAGGAGGCTAATACTTTTGATTAGATTTATTCGAATGTGTTAATGAATGTTGGGAGAAGGGCTCAATTTAATTTAAAACCAAGTTTCCTTTATTTCGTTGGTTCTTTTATTATCTTAAATATCTTGGCTATTTGTGCTACCTCTTATTGTTTATATGACTGCATTTTAAGTTATGCCTATTTTACATAGAAATTCTTAAAGAATTAATAAAAAGGCTTGATTGTCTGTTTTTCAAATTTTTTTCGACAAAGCTGTCACCAATGGCAATCAAGCGCCATTTAAATAATTGTTTTCTTAACTTTCCCTTAATAAAAGCCTTGTTAAAATCTCATTAATAAAATAAATTAAAAATAAACAGCGTAATATGATGATGTTGAGCAGAAAAGGAATAAAATAAAATCAATTACAATATATGCATACTTCTATTATGAACGATTGATTCATAATCTCTAAATACTATACTGCAGTCCTCATTTTCTCTAAAATGCATTAATCATCCAGTCAATCAATATACCCAACAACAACAACAAAAAATACAAAATTAAGAAGAAAAAAGAGATTTAAACAAACTACTATTTTCTATTCTATTTAAACAACAAACAACTCTATTTAATTTAATTTAATTACGTTTATGTTTCGATTTAATTCTTAATAAAAAAGATGAAAATGATAAAAACAAACAAAAGAAACTATGCTAGATTTGTTAAAGTTGGACAACTATGCTAAATTATTCTTTCTTCCTTTCACCCATTTCCAATAGGGTTTAGAAACTGGAAACACTTCCCTGTCGATAGAATTTTTAAACGTATTTGCTAGCATCTAATTATCACCACCCAAACAAAAATGCTAGGTTAAGTTTAAAGGAATATTACTCAATATAGTAGTCATGCTACAGCAGACTGGGGTGAAATTCTCGCATTTGATATTGAAAAAAATGCAATCGTGTGTGTGTTTTGATTGAGATTGATGAGCGTTAAAATTTTATTAAATTTCTACATTTTTTGTTAATCAAGGTAAAATGAACAAATTTAAATTCATTTCGATAGAAATTTGTTTGATATTGAATGCTAGAACTTGGCGTCTGGCCAGAATAGGTAAATCGTTCAGGCCAATCTCACTTGTCGCAGTCAAAAAGTCTCTAAGGGATTGCTTGTCCATAACCCGGTTTTATGGGTTCTTTTAGGAAGCTTTTTTTTTTTTTTTTTGAACATGTGCCGTAAAGTGAGACAGACAGTTTTCTTAGCAATCGCACACCATTGAACTCCCAAATCATCCAACATGTACCATTTCTTAAATGCGAAAATAATGCAAATTAGTGATCACCTATTTTACCACATTGACTGAGAAGATATGCAAATGCAAATAATTCCGACCAATAACAAACTCAAAAATCTTGGAAGTCGAAATTGTCCATATTTTTAAGTTTTTGGTCGTGGCAAGCTTAATGGCCCAATGTAGTTCACAAATACTTAATTTTTTAATACCCACCACCTTGAAAAAGAAGGGCATATTAAATTTGTCTTTCCGTTTGTAAAATCCCTAAATATTCGTCGTAGACCCCATAAAGTATATACAGAGTGAGATAAAAACTGCAACAAAGTCAAACCATTGTGCGCTGGAAATAAAGCGAGGAACCTCATTTTGGATCCATTCTTAGGTGGCACGTGCTGTTGGAATGTCCAAGGTCTGCGGTCAAAATGTTTGCATGCCCAAGGCTTTAATACACCCTCCAGAATATTTTCGGCATTTATTCTGATGCCACGGTTGATTAATACGAGCGGAGAGTGCCCATCGGCTGTTATGGCGGCCCACACCATCACCATGGCCGGCGATTGAGTTCTGGTGGCCAACCGAAGGTGCACATTTTCAGCTGACCTCTTTGGCAAGTAACAACGAGTGTTTTCTCATCGAAGAAAACCAAATTCGGCAGTTCACCACTTTCGAGTGAAGCAACTCTTTAGCCCTTTTGAGTCTATTTTCTTTCTGTGTCTGTGGCTTTACCCCGAGCTCATTTTTCAATATTTGCCGAAGGGAATATTGCGATATGTTCAGCTCACGAGCCATTTTTCGGCCACTCGTTTCTTTACTTTCGAACCATTTCTGCTGATGTTGCTGTTTTCTTCCGTCCACGTCCTTGACGTCGGGCTACGCTACCAGTAACACGGTAATGAGCGATGGTACGAAACAAAAGATGTATTCACATTTAAATGCTGGAGTGCTATAACGATAGCCCCTTGTGGCTTTGCAGCCAAATATAAAGAAATCACACTATCACGCTTGAATTCTATCACGAATAACTTTTTTTCTGGAAAATTCTCACCAAAATGCTTTTCTACGCTTGTAAACAATATACCGAGTTGTCACTGGAATAATTTTAATAGCTGTCGGACGAGTGGCTTAGAAGTGACAGCAGTCTGAAGTTGGTTGCAGTTGTTTCATCTCACCCTGTAATTCGAATTTCGAATGGAAAAGAATTCAAATTACAAGTGAAATAATTCGAAGCTCGAATGGAATATGGCGAATTGCAATTGGAATTATCGGATAACAATTGAAATGTATTTAATCACAAATGAATTTCTCAAATTACAAATATAATTGTTCAATTACAATTACGAACTACTTCTAAAAAGTGTAGTGCTAGGCAATGGAGAAGCGTTCAGATTTGTTTCGTCTTCAATTCTTACTTATGCTTACCGGACGTGCTAATGACAAAAGTGGTCCATTTACGTGAAGCGTTAAAAATTCTTTCCCTACATCCGGATTATAATAAAAAATCAATTCCGTTGTAGCTAAAAAACAAAGGCTTTCCAAAGAAAAACATTTTTTTGTTGTTAAATCTCGTGAATGTTGACTGCATAATAATTTTAATAAAAACCTACAAATACTTCGGCTTGACCTCCAAATTGTTGCTGCTCAGCCAACACATGTTCATAGTTTTTGATATTGTTCATAGATTTCATTAATTCCTATAAAACTATTTTTAAATAATTACATATTTTTAATATTTTCATATAATTTTGACTGGAATACAAAGTTATTACTTTAATCACTTTCCTCCAGTGAATCCGAAACATCTTCACTATTTTGTGGTTGTTCCTCGACAAATGCCGCATTTGACGTCTGTTGCAATTCAAGATTTTCTAAGTATTCCTGCAAACGATCTTGGAAAAAATTAATGTACGTTTGTTTCTGTTGCGACGTGGCCGGGAAATAATGGCCGCCGTTATGCTCCAAAACTTCGACATTTTTAAAATGATTAGCCAGTTCTTGGCTCATTTCTTTGGGTATAATTTCATCGGATAGACCATAAATGTGCAATGTGGGTATTATGACTGACTCTTCATAGGCACTTTTATGCACCAAACTGCCAGAAAGAAATCCCGAAGACATAATGGCAAATTCCGGTTTAATCGAGGTCACTATAACATAAAACATTATCATATAAATAAAAAAATTACATTAATCATTGTCATCACTTACATTTTTTCTTCGCCAAACCGCATATCAGACCCACAAAACAGGCCCCCTGTGAAAAGCCCAACAAGCCTTGAAATGGTCCCTGTGTTTTCCACGTTTCTTCAACCAATTTTAGACTCTCCTGAAAACCAAATGCCGGTCCATTTTTATTGGTACCCTTGAATGAACCATCGTCCTTATTAAACCACCAACTCAATTGATCGGCTTGCGGTTCTGCACCCTCTTCCATGGGTTTTGCCTTGTGCGGTGCATCTATGAAAACAAACTCGGCATATTTGTTTACATGTTTGCGAAATGAGCCGAGTTTACTTTTAAAGCTTTCGCCATTTTGGCGATAGCCATGCAAACAGAGGACTCTCACTTTTTCAGTTATTTCTAAGGGCTTTGCTGAAGATGGTTTTTGCCTGGACGAAGTGGCCTCGTTGGTCATGTTGGAATAGGGTAACTAATTGTTTGGTTATGCATCTACCAAACAGATGTTATGGGACATGTTCAGTGGATATAAACAAAACAACTTGTAAGACCTTATGGGCACACATCAAACTGGGCTTATGTGTCTTTTTTACGTCTACCGTTTCAATTATTATAAACATGTTTTCACACGCGAAATCTTTGGCTCAAAAATGTAAAAAAAAGAAAATTTCAAATTTAAAAAATTCCAAGGAAAATATTTTCCATTAAAAATTTAAAATAAACCATAATTTGTTTACTCTTTCGAGACCATGGCACAATGAAAAGGTAAGGTAGAGCTACCAGCTAATTAAAATTGTGTTGTAAGTGTGCCCGATTTCTGTCAATTTTGTGTACAATACATACACAAAATTGACAGAAATGAAAAATAAATACAAAATATTTTCAAAACCAATAATTAGATGAAACGTACATTGCGGGTCCCTCTTTAAAGATATCAATCAATTCTTCCAGTGGATTAAAAGATTGAACGGCTTGGATCATATTTTTTTAATAAAAATCCAGGCATCTCATCAAATTTCGCACCATTTAGCTCCTTTAAAAAATAAGGAAAAATTCAAAATTAATGGAAACTTCTTGTTTCATATAATAGCCTCAGGATAGTATTTCTGTGGTTTTACGAAGCTATTCTAAAATTGTCAATGAAAATAAAAACCAGAAAACTATGCGACGAAAACAATTTCGTGGCTTCGCCATCTATAAAATATGAACTGAAATATATATATATATATATATATATATATATATATATATATATATATATATATATATATATATATATATATATATATATATATATATATATATATATATATATATATATATATATGTATATATATATATATATATGTATATATATATATATATATATATAAATATTTTTTATTTGCTGCTGGATTTAATTATTTGAAATAAGGTTTATATATGGTCAGTTTCAGAATTCTTTATGATATCGAAAAAATTACAATTCTGCTAGATTCTTGCAGGTTCTGGAAAACCATTTTTTTATACAATTCTCTATTTTATGTTCTTAAGTCAGTGCAAATTTTCTCAGTAAGGATTACATAGTATCATCAGCTGATTAAAAATCGGTTTGTGAGGTTAATGTGCGCATTTTGCAAAACGTCTGACAATATTTTCTTTACTTTAATAAATATTTGTAGTAGTAAGCGTTTATCTCGATTTTTATATGAATTCAACTCTTGCCTATGTATTTTTCGCAAAGGGTGTTTTGACTATATATTTTATTTTTACTGGAAAACTGATCATACACAATAGTTGTGTTCCAGAACCTGCAAATTAGTACCAATTAGCACTAATTCTGCTACATCGCGTTCCCGTACTCAAAAAACAAGCAAAACTTGCAGCTCTCTCGAGAAAAAAATGGCGCTGAGTGGTGCACATTTCTGCTCGTTTTAGCTACATGAATTTGGCCGAGCAGAAATGTGCATATTGTAAATTTGACATTTAATTGGCAGGGCTAACAAGGTTGAAAAATGTATTGATACATTTCAATAAAGAAAATGATCAACTTGAAAACTAAAGGAAAAACTAATATTTGTCGTGCAAAAAACAAAAAGAGAAAATATGGAGCAACTGATGTATTCACTTTTGGATGATTCCAGCAGTGAAGAGGACTGGCTGAATGAGGAATCAGATTATTAATTATTATTATAAATTATTAATTTTAACTTATCGTCTTCAATACTCATTTTTTAAATGTTGGCGCTCTTTTCAGTAAGGTTTCACCAGTCCGATTTAGGCTGTTTACTTTTGGAATTTTGAATTTTGACATTTTATCGCATTTCTGCTAATTTTCCGTTCCCTTATTTTTTGAGCAAACCTAAATGAGAATGACAATTCGAACTGTTCTCTCTTCTGCTAGTTTTACTACTAAAAAAAGTACTGGAACACAACTAATTCCATATGTCAAACATGGTCATTTAAGTTGCACCACTACAGTAAACTGAACATACCCCACATTATATTTATTTACTTTTCAGTGACGTTTGTTGCGGTCAGCTGGGCTCCTCGTTTTCTTATGTAAATACATTGTAAATTCTTCTTCGGCTTTAGTTAACGCCAAAAAAAATTTCATCAATTTATTTGTTTTACATCTGTAGTCTCATCACATCATCGTTCATTTCGTTGCCAAATATTTGTATATAGTATTGGTTGAATCGGAATTTAAGTAACAACAACAAAATGTTACTAACAGTGTCTTTACTTAACAAGGGCACCTTTTTGGGTTCTCTGATTAACAAATGCAGGCAAGTTGTAGGAGTTAAGAACAATAAGCATGTAGAGATTAATCTGAAACCAAACATATCTAATTCCCCAACGCTATCAACTTTAAATCCTTCGTCCTCCCCGTCACCCGTTTCAAATGTGCACGATACTAACAGACCACTTTCGGTGGCAAATTTAAGCTTGAGTAGCCCAGCAACAGCCGCTAGTAAACTTACGGTCGAACAACAAGTTGGTCTGCCGGCAAGGCCAAAGAAACCACTCACACCGTACTTTCGGTTCATGAACGATTTGAGACCAAAAATTTTGGCGGCAAATCCAAGTTTGGCGTTGGTTGATGTTGTGAAGCAAGTTTCCAAAAAGTGGGAAACAGCTGATGCATCGTTGAAGCAACGCCTCCAGGAAGAGTACAAAAAAGAACAACAAGAATATATTGAAAAACGCATGAAATATGATGCCAAAATTACCGATGAACAACGCAGCCAAATTAAGGAGCTCAAACAAGAAAAAATCGAAGCTAAAGAACGTCGCATGATGCGCAAACGTATTAAGGATTTGGGACGCCCAAAGAAGCCAGCATCAGCATTTATACGTTTCATAGCCAAGGAGAGAATCCGCACACCCCAGAAGCCGAACCAAACGTTCCGAGAATGGCATGAAGCTGCTACGAAAAAATGGTCTACATTGTCACAGGGCGAGAAAGATATTTACATGCAGGAATCTCGCAAGGAGTTTGAAACCTATAAGTATGTAACTTTTGATTGTACACGAAATACTCATTTTCGCATAAAATACTATTATATTTACAGAAAAGAAATTGCTGTATGGGAAGAGAAAATGATACGTATGGGACACATTGATGTGGTGCGCCAAGGAAATCTAATTGATCCCCCAGAAGTCAAAACCAAGAAAAGTTAAATGAATAATCTAATGCCAGCATGTCATGCCATTTTTTCACATCCCGTTTTCTTCATAGAATCATAATAGTTTCAGTTAATTGCTATTATTTTTGTTGTTGTGCGACACACCAACCAAAAAGGCTTTATTTTAGGAAGTCTGAGTTCATGAATTAATTTTAGAAAGTTTTGAGAAATAAGAATAATACGAAAATAAAACAGATTAAAAATGTTTATATATTTTCTTTAACTATGTGAAAATGTTTTCGTTTGTTTAAAAAAGGGATAGATTTTTGTATTTAGTCGGGATTATAAATTGATATTTCTTAGTAGATTTTTCAGTGTTCAAACTCCTGTTGTTTGTTTTAAATCTGTCGAGGCTTTAAGTAGTAATTTTTAAGATTTTTGAGCTTGAAAACGTCTTTTTTAGAATTAATGGAATCGAAATCGAGCTTCATAAAGTAAGATTAATTACATTCTTAGAATTGTTGAATTAATTTTTTTTGTGCCAATAATAGAATAGGCGATTTTATGGAAATTTCCTTAAATCATGATTTCGCAGAATATTCCAAGATTTGGAATCTCATTTTTTAACTTGAATCCTTGATTTTCAAAGGACGCAAAATTGAGGAATTTATTTTAATCGCAAAAATACACGATATGCTTTTGTGATATTTACTGCACACAATTGCTTTAAATGGTTTTCATAATTTTATTTATAATTTTTTGCATAGTTTCCGCCACTCTATAATGTCAACAATTGTGGATAACGCCAGGAACAGTTTCTTCTTTTAATTTTTTTTTAAAGATAATAGGAATTAAAATCGCGAGTCATTTAAAATTTAAAATGTGATTCTTTTTTAGTGGGTCTTTTCTGGTCAGATCTTATGATCATATTTTTTCTACTCCGGATTCAGTCTTAAGGTCATGGACTTTTCCTGTCTTCACGTCGATCTTTTTATATTTTATTCAAGTCTTCAAATCGTAAATATTTTCAAGAATATTTAAGACTACATATTTAGTTACTTTTAATGTTGAATATTTTTAATAGTAAAATAAAGCCCCTCTTATTTTATATTTATTTATTAAAATCTTCCTTTAGCAGGACATTAAGCCATATATTTACTGTAATCCATTTAAAGGGAACAAAAAATAATAAATTATTTTTTTTTATTACAAAAAAAAGTTTATTATATTATCGATAAAATATAGACACAATCATGTGGAAATCTTAGAACAGACATATTGGACGAAATAAAAAATGAAATCTCTGAGAAAACTTATATAGAAAAGCAAAATCAATCCAATTAAAAATTACAAGTACTTATAACCACTTAATTCCCATTTCGCATCCTAATCATGAGTATAGCGAATTGGAATACCACTCAAACCCTTTTCGATTTTAGCTGGTTCAGTTTGTCCCAACGCTGGATCAAGTCCACGCCATGTACGATCTTCAAATGTCAAACCAGTATTTGTTGTCATTACTTCCATTCTGGCCTGTGTTGCAATTGTTTGTTGCTGTTCCGACAATGCCGAGAGATTAGCCGTTTCAACATCATTTCCATTGGTACCATTAAAACGCATACGCCCGGTAAGTAAACTAACATCTTCTGGATTTATATCGTTGGCATTGAATTCAAGGAAACTACGTCCTTCAGGCAGTAGATCTTTAAAATCTGTTACATATGATTCTGGATAGCGCATATGCCAGGCTGGATTTAATGCCATTTCGGCTTCAAACACCGATACAATGGGTTTGTAGAATTCCTTCGATTCGAACATGTTGTTAAAAGGACAACCAATAAGTACAAAACAATCAATTTCCAAGAAATTGGCCAATTTAGCTGGATTTATGCGTCCAACTGAGATAATCTGTGTCTTAATGCCCCTTGCTTTGGCCATGGTCTGTAGATGTTTAACAACGTCTAAATAACCATTGGAAGTAAGTGTGGCAACAATTAAACCTAATGTTTGGGCATCTTTACATTTTTCTATGTAAAAATATCTGCGTCGTATATATGTGGCCGTTAGGGGATTCTTTTCCCTACCCGTTGCCGAGAACACATCATAAATGAACCATTTCTCAGCTTTGGTGGTGAGTGATAGGTTAAAGAAACGCTGGTTATCCGAACCAACAAATAAACATATTCTATTTGAGTCCAATTCATCTACTTCTTCGGTGTAGTCTCCATTGGTTATTAGGGAAATTTGTCCATCCTCTGCAATTGTAGCATATTTATCTCCACAATAAGTGATAATGTCCAAACGCATAGCTTTTAGGGCTTTACACTTTTCCATCAGTTCATCATAACTCGGTTTATTAAGTAGCTGATGATAGCCAATATCTAGGTAGATAGTGACCACCTTTGATGTTGAGTGCTCTCTATATGATTCAAGGTAGGTATAGAACTTTTCCAAGTCTAATTCGAATTTCGGATACAAATAAAGTACTGGTAATCGTGAAACTTTGCTTCGGCATGCGTTGCCAAAATGAACCAGCGAATCAGCATCAACATGAGCCGCTGCAATCTGAAATATATAAAGAAATTATATTATTATCGTATTGCACTTAACCGTCAAAACGTAATCTATCGGAAATACAGACTTTCAGACAGAAGTAAGACGTTGGAAAAGCTATGAAAAAACTTTTGCTATCCAGGAACATTTGTGACCATTTGTTTTCGTATATAAAGTTTTTGTAGTGTTATTTTTGAGATTTTGATTACATAAAATTTTTCATCCTTCCAGAAACTCACAATTTAAAGTTATCAGTTTACCTTTATTATAGATTTTAAAAAGGTTAAAAACCTATAGTAAAAAACAGATCTGAGGTATAAATTTTGGTTCGCATATCCGGTATCAATAATAACATAGGTTTGCCTTAAGTTAGAAATCTTATATTGTGGTCAAGGGTCTTGCACCCAACTAAAACGAACTATAGATCCCTGCAATGAACAAGCATTAAATTTGAGCTCTGTCAAGAAAATAATTAAATATTTAAAATTGGAGATTTTTACAAATTGACTGGACTATTTCTTTTGGATATTGGTGTTTGAAGGTCTGGAGCCGTGGCTTTTGGTGGAGTTGGTTTTTCTTCTCACCTTTTTAACCTGTTGCTGTGCATTTTCGTTTGGCGCTCTTTTTTTTATTCATTTGCATCTGCCAAGGTAATCCTGAAAATGCCGTCGCTATTGACCTGTAATGTTTGTAAGGATCATATTGCCAAATCCAAATATAAAATTGGTTGCAAAGGCTGTGCAAATTTTTTCCATTTGGATTGCGTTGGCATTTCTGAGGCTGAGGCTAAAATAAATAAGCAACTCAGATACACTTGTGTGTGCTGTGTTCGGGCTGCTGGTGGTAGTGGTGACGCTGGTGTGGTTGATCGCGGAACAAAAGCGAACACTGCAGTTGATGCATCTAGGGTTGGTGCCACAGCTGATGCTTCTTTGAATGGTGGTGATGGGACAGTTGGTGTGGCTGCGTGTGATTTTGTTGGGAATTCAGATGCTCTGCGAGAGCTGCAGGATAACTTGATTTTGTCTATGAAACAACAAATGGACACGTATATGGCTAGATGTCTGTCTGAATTCCGTACCAAAACTGATGCTCTGTTTGATCTTTATAATGCTCAAATATCTGAGGTAAAGCGTGATGTGGTTGAGCTTAAAAAGGCTGTAGTTGAGTTGAAGATGACAGTCTCTGAAGTTAAAAGTACGGCTTTGTTAGCAGAAAAGAAACTTGCTGATAGGATTTCTGAGCTTGAGTCTTTTAACAATGTGCTCCAGCGAAGGCTTAACAGAGCTGATATCATTATAAGAGGTTTGCCGGAAAATATTAAAGACCTCAGGAGCTTTGTTGTTAAAGTTGCTAATTTGTGTGGGTTGCAACTATCTCATGGCGACATGCAGCAGTGCTGTTACATATCTGAACGTAGAGCGGTTTTGGTGAAGTTTAATTCTATTCAGACAAGAGATTCCCTTATCCGCCGATTTGTTAAAAGAGGGAAGGTAACCCTAAAAGAAGTTATGGAGAATTGTCTATTGGAGTCCCGTATCTACTTAAATGATCATCTTGTTAAATCGGCATCTAGTCTTGTCTTTGCCTGCAGAGGCCTGCTCAAGAAGAAGAAGATTAAGAAATTCAGGTTGTTAAATAGTGATGAACCTCAAGTTGAGGTAATACTTGCTGATGGAAGTAAAACAATTTTTGAGCGACAAGAGCTTCTTGAATTTGCTCGTAGTTGTCCTCTGCAACCGGGTGGTGCTCCGTTGGTTGGTGATATGCTGCTGGGAGTGTAGTCATGTAATGTTAATATTAATTTTGTTTTGATCTCATTGGCAATTTAATTGTTTTCTTGATGCAAATTATTGCTTATTTGTTCTAAATAATCTTTCATATTATTATTTATTATTTATTTTTTTTTTTATTTATATATTTATATTTTTCAATTTTTAGTATAAGATGCGAAATCGAATTTACATAATTTTGCTCCCCAGCCCCTTTATTTGGTTTGATGTCACTTGATGATAATCTGGGACCCATAATTAATGACGCTCACTTTTTTAAACCCTTATTTGAGGGTTTGTCTGGTAAACTAACGTATGGCCACTTGAACTGCCAAAGTATTCGCCCATCGAGATTCAATAATAAAATTGATGAGCTTCGATCCTTGCTGGTTGGTAGTGGTATCAGCATTTTTGGTGTCACTGAATCTTGGCTTAATTCTGCAGTCTCATCGAAATCGTTGGTTGTTCCAGGATATAAGCTGGTGCGGAGTGATCGTGTTGGTCGTGTTGGTGGTGGGGTATGTCTCTATATTGGTAGTGGCATTCCTTATAAGGTAGTTTTTCGTTCAAATAATTTTGGTGTTTGTGAGTCGGTGTGTGTTGAGTTGAATATTGGGGCATTGGTTTTGCTTGTGGCGGTAGTATATCTTCCCCATGGCGATGTTCAGTCTTTCTGTGATGTACATGAGAGTTTGTTTGATCGCTTCTCTAATATCATTGTCCTTGGTGATTTTAACTGTAATTTATTTGTGTCTTCGAACTCTGTTTCGATGAGAGGATTATGCAGATCATTGGGGCTAACTATTGTGCATAACATGAAACCTACCCATTATGATTTGGCCCATAACTCTACCTCGTTAATTGATTTTTGCCTTACTAGTGATAATTTGTCCTTGGGTTTCTCGTCTCAGGGTCGATGTCCTGGTATATCACACCATGCCTTTGTTTTTGGTTCGCTTAACCTGCCTGTATTTTCAGAGGAGAGATTTATTGAGTATCGTAACTTTGGCCGAGCGGATTGGTTGGGCATTGTAAATTTCATATCCGATTTTGACTTCAACCCCTTATATTCCACTTCTGATGTGAATTGTCAACTTTCACTATTTGATTTGTTGTTTAACGCGCTATTGTCTTTCGTTCCTGTTTCTGTTCGTAAGGTCAACCCCAGGAATGATGCATGGTTGGAATCTGATGTGGTAAAATCGGCACGGATGTTTAGAGATCTTGCGTACTTTGAGTGGCGCAAGCGACCTATGGAGGGTAATAGAATAATATATTGTATGTATAGGAATCGTTGTAAGGCTGTGATGAGGAATGAGAGGCGTAAGTACTATAATGATCTCTTTGGTCGTATGAATAATAATCAGCTGTGGAAATCTCTAAAGTCGTTTGGTGTTTTGGGTAGTGATAATGAAGCTCCACCAATTGATGTCAATGCTGCTAATCATTATTTTTCCAGTGGGAATCCTGGTTTTGTGGGTGAGCGTGGTCAGTCTCTTTATAGTGAGGGTCATGTGGGAGATGATGTTTTTCGGTTTTATTGCATATTTTATTCTGATGTTGTAAGGTCATTAAATAAAGTTAAGTCGGGAGCTGTGGGGGTTGATGGCGTGCCAGTAAAGTTTTTTAAACTTATATTTCCATACATTTCCTGTCATTTCCTGCATTTTGTTAACTCGATTTTTATGACATCTACTTTTCCTCGGGCGTGGAAGGTTGCACGAATTGTTCCTGTGCCGAAAACTGGTGAATCATTTGATTTGCCGAATCTGCGTCCCATTAGCATTCTACCTGCTATGTCAAAAATCGTTGAGCATATTATTAAAGAAGCGATTGTTGACTTCCTTGATGATCGTAGGCTATTGAGTAGTTCTCAGTTTGGTTTTCGGCGACGATGTAGTACGACCACGCACTTATTATATCTTACTGACATGATCAGAGATGTATTTAATTCATCTGATGTTGGGTTATTATTGGGCCTTGACTTGTCAAAGGCTTTTGATTTGATAAACCATTCCCTTTTACTTGACAAGCTGAGGTTTAAGTTTGGTTTTTCATCTTCTGCGTGTCGTTTAATGGCTTCATATTTGGAAGGTAGGTCTCAGTTTGTTGTTCATTTGGGTGTTTCGTCTGAAGTTTGTAGTGTCCAATGTGGAGTCCCGCAAGGTTCTGTACTGGGACCGTTGTTATTTATTATGTTCATTAATGACATTGTGCACTCAGTTGTTGATGACAGGTGTTGTCTGTTTTTGTATGCAGATGATATTCATGTTTTCTTCAGAGAGGCTGATATTGCTGGGTTGGAAGGGTTGGTTAATTCTATTGTTTTGTCTCTTTCGTCGTGGATTTCGCTAAATGGCCTTATGATTAATTGGAATAAAACTAAAGCTATGCTGTTCAATGATCATGGTAATGGTGGTTCTCTTAATATTACTGTGGGTTCTGTGTTAGTGAAATTTGTTGATGAAATGAAATGTCTTGGTGTTATAATTGATCGGAAGTTGGACTTTAAGAGACACATTGATTCCTTGCTTTGTCGTATAAGGTTTCAGCTGCGGAGGCTGTATTGTCTTAATGCTTATTTGCCTTGTCATGTTAGGAAGAGAGTGGTTGTATCCTTGCTGCTATCGCAGGTAAATTATTGTCTAGAGGTAGTCTCCGGTACTACTTCTTCTCAAATGCAACGTATCCGTAGGGCGGTAAATTCGATTGTTCGTTATGTGTATGGCTTGCGTCGTGGTGATCATGTTTCTTGTTTTGTTAATGATCTCCTGGGATTGCCATTTAGCAGCTACGTTGATCTTCGTATTCTTCAATTTCATTACAGTGTTATGTGCAATTTTGACTCGCCTCTTCGTGACAACTTTGTGTTTTGTAGATCATCTCGAAATCCTCAATTGTTGTGTCCAAGGTTTTCGTCCTCCATTGGTGAGAGATCATTTGTGGTTAGGGCGGTGAGATTGTGGAATCAGCTTCCTTTGGCCTTACGTACTTTTGCCCATACCAATTATCTGTTTAGGGTTAAAGTAATTGAATACCTTCGCCTAAATATGTAGGCTATGTTTTTGTAGTGGTTGCGTCGGTTTATTATGGGTCTTTCTTTTTGCTTTTCTTTTTGTTTGGGCTGGGGAGCCACTATATTATCTTCTTAATTTTATTTGTAGGGTATAATGTGAGTTACTATTTATACTCTGTTTTGTGAGTAATAAAATAGTTATCTCTTATTTTTAGCTCGTTTCTGCTACACTTTTTCACTGCTCTACTAGACTATTGTTTAGTTGGTGATGGTGAATTGAGGTGTAGGGTTCGAGCTTCTCGTGAATTATTAAGATAAATTATTAGGTTTAATATGTTATTTGTTAAGTTTGAATTAATCATTGAATTTGTATTATGTTAGGGTATTGTAGATAGATAATATAAGTTATGGGCCCTGTGGGCTTATTTATATTTCTTTGTAAGGTAAATAAATGAAATGAAATGAAATGTTATGCATCCAGTGCTACATTTGCTCATAGGCGAATGTCTTCATCCGATCATATTTATTGTATTATGCCCATGGTATAGGGGCGAGGGTACTTTAAGAAAGATTCAAATCTCGGAAGAAAAACGACTATTATTGCAATCATGATGTTATGGAAATATCATGATTCGAGACTGCGCCGAATACGGGATATCTTCCATAGGGCGTTATCCTATCCAATGGAACACGAGAGCGACAGAGAATTTCTATTTGGCTACTACTGTAATCCGTTGTCGGCAATATCGAAGATTGTAGCACCTTGACCCTTACCAATACATACCTCATCTACACAGCAACTGCCGTATGATGTGTCGGCCAAAATAAATGTCTTAACTTCATCTGCCGCAGAAAAAGCCTGTCTAATACTTGCGGCAATAGCTTCACTGCATTTCAGATAGCTGTCAGGAAATTGTAGACAAACCTAAAAAACGCTTAATTATTATCGTTATATAGTCATTAAACTTCTTGAACTTACTCTTTTGTAGCCATTGCTTTTTATCCATTCGAAACAAGTTTCACGTTGGGAATCACTCCATATTTCCTTCAGCGAAACTTCTCGCTCAACGTCTAACAAATCTGCCTGTCTTTCTAATACGGCAGTATCTGAACTTGAAAATGCCGATGTCATATTTTATTGGATATATATTTATTTGTACGGGGTCTTATGGGGCAAAATGCAGTTTATTTTTGTTTATACAATGCCCGCTGTCTATCTCAATGGCTTTGAAATCACGTAGTCCCAATGAGACGAAATTAGTACACGACGTAGTGCAATAAAACTACGATACGATATTAAATGATCAGCTGATTTTCTAATGCTGTAATAACGTATTGAGGTAGTACTTAGACGAAAGCGTACAATTCTTGTGGCAAATTAAGGCTGAGATAAATATCACAGTGGAAAGGAATTACTTTTAAGTGATTAAATTCTGTTACTTTAAAACGAATATAATGTTTCAACTCTTTTTTCATTCGATAGATAACACTTTACGCCCAAGAATAATCGTTACAGTAGTTCATGAATAATTTAAACTTAATGCCCAATTTTTGGTTTTGTATCATAAAGTTCTTTTATAATTTTCTAATTTTTAATAATTTCTGTGTCACTCTAATATAAAAAACTTATAAGTCGACTTTTAAATGGCTCGTGCTGGAATCGTAGAAAGCCTCCGATCATAATTCTAGCTGTCCTACACATACCACCATAAATCTGTTCCGATGCAATCTAATGGATGGATTTCAGATTAACCCAGACTGCACTCAACCTACTGTTGAGTCAATTGTGAGTAACGGTAAAATTGCTCTCCAACGCTGAGAAGGTGCACAGGGTATTTTAAGCGTCAATTTATAATGTTAAGACGAAGTGTAGAGTACTACGTTAGATAAGATTGGTTCCAATCCAAAAGGCACCATTCAGCTTGCGATGGGCTATGTTGCAAGTTTGAATGATTATTTTTATACTTTAAATTTAACAAAGTAATATTTTTTTTGCTTTATATATATTTGAATAGAAAAAAACAAAAACAAAATAATATAAGCAAGTAAAAAACAGTAAGTTAGGCAGAACTTTAAATAGCCTCCACAATTAACTGAAAAACCTTTATATATAAAAGCATCTGGATTCAAACGTATTCTACGTTAAACAACAAATACGAGTATGTTTGGTTAGAGAATGCGGTAAAATGTAAAAAAAAAAAAACAGTAAAGAAAGTCTTAAAGTCGGGCGTGGCCGACTTTATGATACCCTACACCACTTTGCTAATTTAGTAGAGCTCCGCATAAAAATTAAAAGTTCATACACGCTATGATTATAATTATAATTTAAAGTTCAGTGGGTAACAAATATAACAAATCGGATGAAGAGTATATATGGTAGCTATAGCTATATCTGAACCGATCTTCACCAAATTTGACATACTAGCTTCTAGACTCAATTCGGTCGTAAGTGCCATATTCCATCCCATTTGGACAAATATTGAAAGTTTGGTGCACAACAAAAGGTAAATCGGACGAAGTTATATATGGGAGCTATATCCAAATCTGAACCGAACTCGATAAAATTTAGCAAATGTATTTCTGAGTTGTATTTGATATATTTCCCAAAATATTGTGGTCACAGAGTGCATATAACGGCTGCGGAGGACAAAAATAACAAATCGGATGAACAATATATATGGAAGCTATACCTATATGTGAACCGATTTCGATCAAATTTAGCATACTTATTTTTAGGCCTAATTTGGTTGTATGTGCAAAATTCCATACTATTCGGGCTGATATTACACGTTTGGCGCACAATAAAAGGCAAATCGGACGAAGATATATATGGGAGCTATATCTAAATTTTGACCGATTATCTCCAATTTCAATAGGGTTCGTCCTTGGGCCAAACAATTGATTTGTGCAAAATTTCATCTGGATAGGACAATAAATGCGAACTGTACTTTGTTTACAAAAAAACATGGACAGACGGACGGACGGACATGCATAAATCGACTCAGAATGTGATTCTATGCAGATCATCAAAAGGAACTATGGGTCTATCTCGTTTCCTTTTGCCTGTTACAAACAAATGCACAAAGACATAATACCCTGACCACCTTGTGGTGTAGGGTATAAACAATGAAGTAGGTGGGGCCTTTATGTGGGGCCATAGTAAAACGGGAACATATATGGATAATTTTATACTACAAAGATTTTTATCTATTGCGAGTCTTAAATACCAAATTTTAAACAAAAAATATTGAATATCGATGGTGCCGTTATATTGAAACAGTGGACCAATATGGACAATGTTTTGAAACAGGTTGTATAACCTTTTACGAACTACAAATACCAATTTTTAAACAAATCCGTGGGAAAATGCGGCAAATATCATCAAAATATCGAATATCGGTACATCCCGATTATATGCAGGCTATACGAAAACGTGACCCAATTACCCACCAGAAGTAGAAACCGTTACTAACTCTTAGTATCAAAAATGGAATAATTCCGTGGAAAAATCGTCAAAATACTGAACATTTGGAGGGCTACACCAAAAACATGGGCCGACATATCTCATTTTCATTACCAACCATCCTAGATGCAATACAAACTATTGTGCAAATTTTTAAAGGTGGATGTTATAAAAGCTACAAAGTTTATATGTAATACAATTCATGCAATAAAATAAATTAAATAAATAAGCTATTTAAGAAAAATTAAATGAATGAATACAAAAAGAAATGATAAATCTTTAAGATTTGAAAAATATAAATAAGAAGGGAAGAAAATAAAATATTTTAGTTCAGAAGCTTTAATATTTTTAAAGCTCTATCAACATTTTTTGTACCTTTACAGAAAATGTTCCTTTCTTTCCTCTATTGCTACATTTCTTTTTTCTATTTCTATCAAAATGTTAATTTTCTTCTCCATTTTATTCTACACATTCTTTGTCTTTTTTTCTCTTCCAGGATGATGGTGAAGTTAATGGCATTTTGGATGAGGGATCTGGGGAATTGCATAAGAAATGACTGCTGAATGTTGAAGTTTTTGACATTTGTGGTGAGTAATTATTCTGGGGGATTTGAGAAGTGTTGATCAGTGATCATGGACGGTGATGAACGGGGTGAATATTCAACTGTAGGTATATCTCATGTCAAAATGCTGTCAATACCTGTAAGACAGAAGAATGTAGAAGGAAAAGTTTAACGTTTTTCGCTGCTGTTTAAGAGATATTGCATTTACGACGTCATTTGTATTCTAGCAAAAATCAATTAAAATTTGTTCGTGCCATGGGAACATTGATATGTCAAAAATGTTATAATGATTTGTCAAAAAAATAGATTTTTAAATATGCATTTTTCAACAACTTTTGCAATTTTAAATAATTTTTTATTAAAAATTTTTAATTCCAAAATCAGTTTGACAGTTCATTATACCAGCAGCTGTGCCGATGCGACTACCTGTATTCTTCTTCCATGGTTGTAAAACATAAATATTAAAGGGAATGACATAGTCGGCTATAGTTGTCCCTTAAAATTTGTGACACCCGTTTCAGAACCCTCAGGAATCTACTACACCACTTTTGCAACTTTTTTTTACTTAGAAACCACTCCAGAGCCTCAATTCTTGTTCTGTGAAAATGCGAAATTAAAACTTTTATAAAGGAAAGAAATATCAAATGAATAATTTTATAAAGAAAATATTTTTCATTTCATATTTTCATAGAACAAGAGTCCACTCCCAGTACCCGAGAATATAGTAAAACTTGAGAGCAGATTAAAAAAGAAACAAGTAGAATGGCCACGAATTACGTTCTATTAAAAAACTTTGTACAAGACAAATTTGGCCATGAAAAAAAGTGACAAGGTTGCCTCAATGGTTGATTCGAAAGGATTACCATATTTTTGACAATTTTAATAGTCTTAAGTCCCTGTACTTTCTGAGCAGCGTATTGTTCTCCCAGAGCGAACACCACATATCTCTCTTTTGCTGATGTTATTATAAAACAAGTTAAAATGTATCAGTCAGTCAGGTTTTGACGACATTTGTTTATTTTTATTTTGACTTTTGTTCTGATTATTTATATTGTTGGCCCTCTATGGAGTAGGTTCCGAATGAATGGGCCAATATTATCAATTTTGTATGGAACCTAAATGAATATGATATAAATATTGGGACGTGTCAGGTTTGGACTATATCGACTAATTCCTTAACTTTATATGAGATATGTGATATTTTTTACAAAATGTTAAAATGTGTGTGAAGTACCCGACATAGTCGACCGAAGTGTTCCATTTTCATACTTCCTCTAATACAGATTAAAATATTGGCATAGGCAAAATTACAAGAAAATCGAATATTTATATCCAATTTTATGCGAAATCATAAATTCCAGGTTCTTCTCAGATTTTTGTTATGATTATTTAAATTGTTGGTCCTTTATGGAGTCGGTTCCGAATAAATGGGCCAATAGTATCAATTTCGTATCGGACCTAAATGAATATGATATAAATATTGGGACGTGCCAGGTTTGGACTATATCGACTAATTCCTTAACTTTATATGAGATATGTGATATTTTTTACAAAATGTTAAAATGTGTGTGAAGTACCCGACATATTCGACCAAAGTGTTCCATTTTCATACTTCCTCTAATACAGATTAAAATATTGGCATAGGCAAAATTACAAGAAAATCGAACATTTATATCCAATTTTATGCGAAATCATAAATTCCCAGATTTCTGGTTAGGAGAAACATTTAGAATTTAGAAACATTTATTTCGCTACTTCGAACCCTATGTGGGGAGGTACAAGAAGAAATGGTCCGACCTGTACCATCTTTATAACAGATCTCGTGTTGATGGAAATTTTGAGATGTACCAATTCTGAATGGAATCGGATGTTAATTTCGCGTTTTATGAGTTTCATGGATATTCAAAATATTGACCCTTTGTGGGAGAGGTACCAAAAGGAGTGGACAGTTATATCCCATATTCACATCAGATCTAATGTTAGTAGAAATAATAGGATGTGTGAAATATGAAGAGAACGGGATGCTAATTTCGGATTTTATGACAGTTTTTGTTTTTCAAAACTTTGACTCTTTGTGGGAGAGGTACCAGAAGGAATGGTTGGATCTCTACCATATTTATAACAGATCTTGTGTTGAAGGAAACATTGAGATGTGCCAAGTCGGAATGGAATCGGATGTTAATTTCGTATTTTATGAGCTTCATGAATATTCAAAATTTTGACCCTTTGTGG